GGTATCAAAATGCGGGAAATTTATTCAAAATTTATATTCTGGCGGTAAAATCGAATTTGGGACATGCGTATTCAAGTTATACCCAGTTTTTCGCGACTTGGTTGACTTAAATGTAGGAACGCCTAGTTAAAAATGTCTCCAGTCAGCATCCGAAAATTAAAATTTGCCCCACTGAAATCAGATCACAATGACTTCAAACCGTTAACAGTAAATGGTAAGATATCACTTAACTCATTTGTGGAGGTAAATTGAGGTTATAATCTATTATCATTGTAAAATAGTCAAAAGAGCCTCCAAAATGGTCGTGTTTTTGACTAAAATACCAGATGTCACGCCACCGGAAATCGATACGTAAGCTTTTGTCCGCAGTGATTTTGATATGGCTTGGAAGGTGACAAGTGGTCCAGAAAATTTCAATATGGCACTTTGAATTTCACTGGCAGTGGGTTGGGGCTTCGTTGATTCTTTTGCGTTGTTTAAAATAGAGTGGATAAATTCCGTGAACATTGCCTTCTGAGAATGGAGGTAATCGACGTATGCCATGGACTTTCTGTAAATATCCTCGTTGATTTCCTCACTGCAGGTCATTTGGTCATTTTGTTGGAGCAGTGAAGTTACACAGGCAGTAATAACATGGATTGGAATGGCCAGTCTAGCCACTAAGTCATACGACTTCGATTTCGGTGGTATGTCCCCATTCTTGATTGCTTCATTAACTTCATGGACATGTTGCGTTTTCAAGGCCTTATATATGTCCATCGCTGCATTACTAAGTGTGTAGGTGCGTGTGATGTTATGATGCATTTGCTCGATTTCAGTAAATAATCGATCAAAGTCTTTGAATGTTTGATTGTTCAAGTATTCGATGCTTTGCTCTTCTTCTTGTGGAGTAGGTTTTAAGGCAAATGGCACTGTAAAAAGGAAGCGATCTATCAGACCGTGTCCCTTGTCCATACGGTAAAGGACAGTTGCCGCATTCTGGATCTGAGTTGCACCAAGGATCGAAAAGGTGGTATTGGAGTTGATCTCTCTAGTGGATTCTGTGGCAAAATGGTAGGACGATCCCTCGCCGCTCCAGAGCTTACACAATAGTTGGACGTTGCCAGACGCATTGTCTTCATCGTTTTTCAGTAGCTTGTTCAGTACATCGAACAGTTCAGGCGAGGCAAGTAATGCTCTTCCTTGTTTAGATAGAGTTTTAACCAATCCAGACGAAGTGGTTGTGCTTATCAATGTTTCAGCATTGATACAGTCCATGTTTTTAAGTCCTTTCAGGACAGATTCGACGGCTGGCGATTTTCCTGTCCCSGGATAACCAACAAACATCATGAAGAGATTAATTGGTTGTAGATGGTTGGATATCATCAGGCTGGCATCTTTATTGGCAAGTAGATAGGCTGTTGACGTTAACAACGAAGGCACCAGGTAACCAAGAGAACTTCCCATCGAGTAAGCTTTATGTTTTAGAAAGTTGAATACAGGTTCTGGAAATAACTTGAAGTAATCATAAGGAATACTCGATACTCGCTGATGAAAAGAAGCCCAAGTTGCTTCACTTTGACAAGACAGACGTAAGATAGGATTTGACATGGTGATTCAGACTGACTATAGCTTTGTTATTACTGCCGATAGAAGTAGAAAGATCTGGTGGTAGTCACATATTTTATAGTGCATTTCAGTTATTGTTAATTTGTCAGGCCACTGCTTGCATCCGAAACTATTGTTTGACCAATAATAATTTCAAAATGGCTTTTGTTTAATGGCTTTATTCTAATTATTAAATTAGCTAAATAAACTATCACCTTCAGATTTCTTCTTTGACATTTAGGGATACCGTCCCAGCACCTATTGTTATGCAACAATACATTTGAAAAGCTTTGTTGGTTTGCTATGGGCCGGTGCACCTTGTAACAGCTAAAAAGACAAAAAACTGATAAAATAAAGATGTCAGCC